TACATACTTGGCTCTTCATGTTTGTACATATATTGTTGATTGTGCATCTGTGATTGTACTTGCTTGGTTGTGCATGCTTTGTTGCATTTTGCTCGTGCATTTTTGGTTGTTCATGCTTTGTGCATTTATGGTTGTGCCTGCTTTTTTGGTACATGCTTGACTCATCATGTTTGATTGTACATGCTTGGTTGTACATTCTTTGCTATAAATGTTTTTTCATGGTTGGTTGTGCATTCTTTGGGCTCATTATTGCCTGTTCATCGATGGTAATGCATGCCTGGTTGTTCTCGCTTGATTATACAGGGTTAGTTGTTAAATTAGTTGTATTTGCGCCAAGTTCTGTTAATCGACCCGAGTGACGACTTCATAACTCATAATTGTTCTCTTCTTAACAACCGAAAATTCAAGTCGTGTTGTGGTATCACCCTCCCAACCTAACCAAAGCTAACTTAACCTAACTAACCTTCTCATAGAAAACCTGGATGTCTGTGAGCCGCTACTTTCCATAGTATAAATTAATTTGTACGTTGGCTACAATATCTGGCGACCTCAATGGGAAATAGTTTGCAGGTAGCACTGAGATAAAACTAGTGAGGTGAGGTAGACGTCGCCTGTTCTTCACACAAACCTGTATACAAAATATAAAAAAAAGTGCAGGAGTTCTCACGTTCTTCGTTCTCCCCTTGTGTGTGTGTCCTGGCTCTGACTGTTGCCCTTGTGTGTGTGTCCTGGCTCTGACTGTTGCCCTTGTGTGTCCTGGCTCTGACTGTTACCCTTGTGTGTGTGTCCTGGCTCTGACTGTTGCCCTTGTGTGTGTGTCCTCGCTCTGACTGTTACCCTTGTGTGTGTGTCCTGGCTCTGACTGTTGCCCTTGTGTGTGTGTCCTCGCTCTGACTGTTACCCTTGTGTGTGTGTCCTGGCTCTGACTGTTACCCTTGTGTGTGTGTCCTGGCTCTGACTGTTACCCTTGTGTGTGTGTCCTGGCTCTGACTGTTGCCCTTGTGTGTGTGTCCTCGCTCTGACTGTTGCCCTTGTGTGTGTGTCCTGGCTCTGACTGTTACCCTTGTGTGTGTGTCCTGGCTCTGACTGTTACCCTTGTGTGTGTGTCCTGGCTCTGACTGTTGCCCTTGTGTGTGTGTCCTGGCTCTGACTGTTGCCCTTGTGTGTGTGTCCTGGCTCTGACTGTTGCCCTTGTGTGTGTGTCCTGGCTCTGACTGTTGCTCTTGTGTGTGTGTGTCCTGGCTCTGACTGTTGCCCTTGTGTGTGTGTCCTGGCTCTGACTGTTGCCCTTGTGTGTGTGTCCTCGCTCTGACTGTTGCCCTTGTGTGTGTGTCCTCGCTCTGACTGTTGCCCTTGTGTGTGTGTGTCCTCACTCTGACTGTTGCCCTTGTGTGTGTGTGTCCTCGCTTTGACTGTTACCCTTGTGTGTGTGTCCTGGCTCTGACTGTTACCCTTGTGTGTGTGTCCTGGCTCTGACTGTTGCCCTTGTGTGTGTGTGTCCTCGCTCTGACTGTTACCCTTGTGTGTGTGTCCTCGCTCTGACTGTTACCCTTGTGTGTGTGTCCTCGCTCTGACTGTTGCTCTTGTGTGTGTGTCCTCGCTCTGACTGTTGCCCTTGTGTATGTGTGTCCTGGCTCTGACTATTGCCCTTGTGTGTGTGTCCTGGCTCTGACTATTGCCCTTGTGTGTGTGTCCTCGCTCTGACTATTGCCCTTGTGTGTGTGTGTCCTCACTCTGACTGTTGCCCTTGTGTGTGTGTGTCCTCACTCTGACTGTTGCTCTTGTGTGTCCCATCCTGACCCTTATCCTTCAATGCCCCTTTGTCCTTACTCTTTCCATTACATGACCATTCGTTCTGGTCTTTTCCTTTATGTGTTCCGCTTTTATAGGGATGAATGTTCTTCTAGGGGTTAATGGTATTAAATTGTCAAGATATTTAAAGGATTTCCTAAACCCGTTTGGCAAACTCATCATAAAACGAGGGGTGGTTCTGTCTTCCTCTCAGACCCTCTTAGCCCCTTACACGATGGCTTACGTCATATGACGTTTGAGGATTAACATGAGGTATATATATGTGACTTATATTATATAAATGTAAATTTTTAACCTTACGAAAATTGTGATCAGCAACGACATTCAAATCGTGATGAAAATTTGACATTTCCTTGGTAACTATTGCTTTGTAAAGAAATTTAGTTTGTGTATTATTATTATTATTAAACATCGTTATTGACAAAATTTATTTACAATTTTGCCTAATCTGAAGAATTAAATTAGGTTTTATTAGAGTGAGGATAATGTCACTCTATTCACTGTCACACAGGACAGAGGATCATACACAAGGCAATAGGTCTAAACTGTAGGCTGAAGCACACATATATCATGGTTACAATCAATGTTTTAATGTACGAATATGTAAATACAACTTTCTTTTGTGCACTGCCACACAAGGGCAAGGACGGGTTCGTAAGTGATGCAGCTTAAAAATAATATAAATAAAATTGTTCTTCATTCTTTAAAATGGACAAGCAAATTTTGGATAAATTGTTAGGATGTCGTCCAGTACACCAGATTCAATGAAATAGTTACACAGTTGGTGGTACAAGAGGCCAGGGGCTAGATTCACGAAAGCACTTACGCAAGCACTTACGAACGTGTACACCTTTCCTCAATCTTTGACGGCTTTGGTTACATTTATTAATCCGTTTACAAGCATGAAAACTTCCCATTCAACTGTTGTTATTGTTATAAACAGCCTCCTGGTGCTTCGGAGCTCATTAACTGTTTAATAATTGGAAACAAAGCCGCCAAAGATTGACAAAAGATGTACAGGTTCGTAAGTGTTTGCGTAAGTGCTTTCGTGAATCTGGCCCCAGGAGGTCTAAAATCTTTTACGGTTTCACATTCAACAATATAGTGTTCTAGTGAATGCATTAAAGATTTGTCACAGAGTTAACATTCTGAATATTCTGGGAGTGGCTCAGCCTTACTAACCTGCCAGATGTGCTTATAGCCAAGGCGAGTTCATGCAATGACTACATCACATTGCCTGGTCCAGTTACTGTGATGACCAAACAAATACCTATTATTACAAAAGTTGTCATAGATTTTAATACTGCAGCTTTCAGGCCTGAGGCAGGTTGCCAGGCCCCTTCATAAGGCAGGTAACAAGTCCCCTTCATAAGGCAGGTTACCAGTCCCCTTCATAAGGCAGGTTACCAGTCCTCTTCATAAGGCAGGTTACCAGTCCCCTTCATAAGGCAGGTTACCAGTCCCCTTCATAAGGCAGGTTACCAGTCCCCTTCATAAGGCAAGTTACCAGTTCCCTTCATAAGGCAGGTTACCAGTCACCTTCATAAGGCAGGATACCAGTTCCCTTCATAAGGCAGGTTACCAGTCCCCTTCATAAGGCAGGTTACCAGTCCCCTTCATAAGGCAGGATACCAGGTCCCTTCATAAGGCAGGTTACCATGTCCCCTTCATAAGGCAGGTTACCAGTCACCTTCATAAGGCAGGTTACCAGTCACCTTCATAAGGCAGGTTACCAGTCCCCTTCATTAGGCAGGTCACCAGTCCTCTTCATAAGGCAGGTTACCAGTCCTCTTCATAAGGCAGGTTACCATGTCCCCTTCATAAGGCAGGTTACCATGTCCCCTTCATAAGGCAGGTCACCAGTCCTCTTCATAAGGCAGGTTACCATGTCCCCTTCATAAGGCAGGTTACCAGTCACCTTCATAAGGCAGGTTACCAGTCCTCTTCATAAGGCAGGTCACCAGTCCTCTTCATAAGGCAGGTTACCATGTCCCCTTCATAAGGCAGTTACCAGTCCTCTTCATTACCAGTCCTCTTCATAAGGCAGGTTACCAGTCCCCTTCATAAGGCAGGTTACCAGTCCTCTTCATAAGGCAGGTTACCAGTCCCCTTCATAAGGCAGGTTACCAGTCCTCTTCATAAGGCAGGTTACCAGTCCTCTTCATAAGGCAGGTTACCAGTCCTCTTCATAAGGCAGGTTACCAGTCCTCTTCATAAGGCAGGTTACCAGTCCTCTTCATAGGCAGGTTACCAGTCCCCTTCATAAGGCAGGTTACCAGTCCTCTTCATAAGGCAGGTTACCAGTCCTTTTCATAAGGCAGGTTACCAGTCCTCTTCATAAGGCAGGTTACCAGTTCTCTTCATAAGGCAGGTAAGAACTACCATTCATTCTTTTCAAAAGGCAAGTTCTTAACCCCTTGTAAAATGCAGGTTCCTTGCCCCCCATTAAAATTCAATTTTTCAGTCCCTTTCATAAGGCAATTTAAAGGGTAAATTTAAAATACCACTTCTGTTTATAACCCAGGGTTTCCAGTCCCTTCATAGGGCGGGTCCCAGTCATTACCTGTTCAAAATTTCACTTCAAAAGACAGGATACCAGATCCCTTATTAAGACAGGATACCAGATCCCTTATTAAGACAGGATACCAGATCCCTTATTAAGACAGGATACCAGATCCCTTATTAAGACAGGATACCAGATCCCTTATTAAGACAGGATACCAGATCCCTTATTAAGACAGGATACCAGATCCCTTATTAAGACAGGTTCCCTTCTCATATTTTGTAAAATGAACTGCTTATCGATTCATTTTACCTATATCCTTCATAAATCCCAATCCATTTCCTTGAAGCTGGTTTTGATTACTTACTAAAAAGCATGTTCTATCTTCTATCAATTAGGCAGATTATTCTTTTCATGTAGCTGGTTACAGATCCCTTTCATTAGTAAGGTTACTGTGCTAATCACAATGCAATCTACCAGTCACCTTCATATAGCACTTCGACATTCCCCTTCATTAAGGCAGGTTAGAAGTTCTCTCTCGTTTAGCAGGTCCCCAATTCAACCTCATAACTTAGGATCCCATTTTTCCCTTCAAAGAACAGGTTTCCTGTTCCCTTACATACGGGCGATTCTCAGCATTCCTGAGAATCTTCCGTATAGTTCTAAGATTAATAATAAACAAAAGTAATATGCTGTGTTTACTGTTTATGATTCGAGAAAAGTTAAAACTGATAGAGAATATATTGTTGTTTAAATATATATTAAATTTCATAAAATTGTATTACTGCGGTACAGGTGGACGTTCCTTTTATTGTGATGCAGACGTCTTAATTTTCTTGTTACAGCAGGTGTAGTTCAAGGTTTTTTTTTACTCTGATGGTGGCTTTAGCTGTGAAGTTGGCGTCATCTGTGATGCTGGCGTCATCTGTGATGCTGGCGTCATCTGTGATGCTGGCGTCATCTGTGATGCTGGCGTCATCTGTGATGCTGGCGTCATCTGTGATGCTGGCGTCATCTGTGATGCTGGCGTCATCTGTGATGCTGGCGTCATCTGTGATGCTGGCGTCATCTGTGATGCTGGCGTCATCTGTGATGCTGGCGTCATCTGTGATGCTGGCGTCATCTGTGATGCTGGAGTCATCATAATGTCACAAACTGACGTTAGGTGTGATTCTGCCTATATATCAACAAGAGACAACTGTTGTCTCTTGTTGACCATTTCCTCCACAGCCACAGGGGCTTAAGCAGGCAACATATATAGGCATTGTCTCTTTATTTGTCGGGGATTTTGGTGCTTATTTGCCACGAGTACCTGGAATGTAAATAAAAATGTATAGTATACGAGAATTTGTGACATAACGACATTATCTCTGAAAAGCGCTACAATTAAAGATAATTTTTGACAGCACATGCTGATAATATGAAATGAAACTCAACTCATATACGAGTATAATCTGATGTATTTGCACAAAATGATATTTCGACCAATAGATGTGTAAACAGCAGGTACTGTCAACTTACTTCCAAGGCTGCCACTGCCGAATCCACCGCCAAATCCACCTCCAGATCCACCACCTTGGTGTCCACCGCTTCCTGGGTGGCCTCCGGAGCCACTTCCACCGCCAAATCCACCTCCAGATCCACCACCTTGGTGTCCACCGCTTCCTGAGTGGCCTCCGGAGCCACTTCCACCGCCAAATCCACCTCCAGATCCACCACCTTGGTGTCCACCGCTTCCTGAGTGGCCTCCGGAGCCACTTCCACCGCCAAATCCACCTCCAGATCCACCACCTTGGTGTCCACCGCTTCCTGGGTGGCCTCCGGAGCCACTTCCACCGCCAAATCCACTTCCAGATCCACCACCTTGGTGTCCACCGCTTCCTGGGTGGCCTCCGGAGCCACTTCCACCGCCAAATCCACTTCCAGATCCACCACCTTGGTGTCCACCGCTTCCTGGGTGGCCTCCGGAGCCACTTCCACCGCCAAATCCACCTCCAGATCCACCACCTTGGTGTCCACCGTTTCCTGAATGGCCTCCGGAGCCACTTCCACCGCCAAATCCACCACCAGCTCCACCGCCTCCACCAGTTCCCGGCCTACCTCCACCGCCACCTATTCCACCACCGCCTCCAAATCCTCCACCTCCCCCTGAACCACCACCACCTCCTCCTCCAATACCAAATCCACCCCCTCCACCTGCAAAGAGGTAATAAAAACGGCATTAACTAGAAATGATAAATATTGATATGTCGCTATCAAAGCAACTGATCTGATGATATGGACAAAGTGTCACATTTTGGCAATTTACACCCTTATGGCTCCTGTTTCATTAGGTGCATATTTCATTGTCCTCCTCACCTCCACTAGGTAGAAGGCTTCCTCTCCCGGAGACCAGGAGCACAGCGCACGCCAGGAGGGTGACAGTTAGCGGCTTCTGTTGAGTACAACCAAAAAAATGAAGTGGTTAAAGGTTTCTGTGGAGACCAGCAAAAGGAAATGGTTGAAGGTTACTGTTGCGAACAACGGGTGGATAAAAACTAAAGGTTCTAAGGAGAACAGCAAATGTAAATTGATTTAAGGTTACTTTTCACATCAACAGGAAAGATTACATAAATAGTTTCAGTAGAAAACAACATGTAAGATGGTGCAGACGAAGGGTCACAAAAACGTGGCTGAAGATATGATGACCAAACCCTACACCAGGTAGATGTAGATGACGATGTTTCGGTCCGTCCTGGACCATTATCGCAATCGGCCTGATAATGATCAAGAACGGACCGAAATGTCGTCATCATTTCATCTTCCTGTGTGGAATTTGGTCATCATGTAAGATGGTGTTAATGATTTCTTCTGATGGTATATAATATTGATTTAAAATAAGTAGTGTTGATTAACATACAGATTTGGGATAATAATCGAATATCTTAGATCTTAACCTAAGCTCTGAATAGATAACATTATACAACATATTTTTGAGTAAAAGGACATTATATTTCTCACAGTGACTATAGAATACATAGTCAATACCTTGTGAACAAGCTAGATTAAACAACATATCGTGTGAATACATCACATTATTTACACATAAAAAAGACGAACAGAAAATTCAGCTTCCGGTATTAACAATATGTGAAGTGGACTAGATATCACTGAAACAAATCTTGTAAGAAATACTTCGCGGTTTTTAAGTATTCTCTTAACTCCACCTTGATTCTAATGAGTATCCTGTCATCACTATAAACCCATTACGAGAGACTGCCATCATTGTAGACCTATCATTGGGAGCCTGCCATCATTGTAGACCTATCATTGGGAGCCTGCCATCATTGTAGACCTATCATTGGGAGCCTGCCATCATTGTAGACCTATCATTGGGAGCCTGCCATCATTGTAGACCTATCATTGGGAGCCTGCCATCATTGTAGACCTATCTTAGGGAAATTGCCATCATTGTAGACCGGTTATGGGAGCCTGATATCATTACAGACCTATCATGGGAGCTTGCCAACATTGTAGACCTATCATGGTTAAACTGCCATCGTTGTAGATCTATCATGGTCGGGGAGAAGAAAACTATCAGGAGAAAGCGCCAAGAATATAGTACTTGGAAGGCATAAGAATAAGGATTTGGATGGGAAATAGGGAAGGAATGGTGCCCAACCACTTGAAAAAGGGAGGGGAGGATTGAACGCTAACCTGCATGATGCGAGACCGTCGGTCTACCGTCCAGCCGAAATGGTTGGGCGACCTATCGTAGGAGTGTGCCATCATTGTAGACCTATCATAGGAGCCTGCCATCATTGTAGACCTATCTTGGGAAGCCTGTCACCTTTGTAGACATATCACAGGAGCCTGCCAACGTTTTAGACTCTTCATTGGGAGTCTGCCACCATTGTATTCCTATCTTGGGGAGACTACCACTGTTGTAAACCTTTCATCGAGAGCCTGCCACCGTTGTACACCTATCATGGGGAGCCTGCCATCATTGTAGACCTATCAAGGGCTGCCTGCCTCCATTGCAGACCTATTACCGGGTGCCTACCTCCATTGTAGATCTATCACGTGGAGCCTGCCACCATTGTAGAATTATCTTGGGGAGTCTGCCACCGTTGTAGACCTCTCATGGGTGGCCTACCACCGGAGTATACATACCACGAGCCTGCCATTATTGTAGCCTTATCATGGGGTGCCTGCCACCATTATTGACCAATCATTCAGTGCCTGTCACCATTGTAGACCTATCATGGGGAGCATGTCGCCCTTGTAGATCAATCATTGGTTCTAGCAACAGGTTTAACTTACCGTGGGGCTTTCCTACCTATCTAGCGATTTAAATTTTTTTTTACTTTACATTTGACCTGCTAACAATATTTTATTTTAATGGAATCTGCCAACAAGAGCAAAAATCCACTGAACGTGATAACAAGTATTACTTTTCATTGGACCTGGTGACAGTGGTGACTTTACAGTAGACTCGATAACAATATCGTCTGTCAATGGGACCTGTTTACAGTGGAGACTTACCATGGCTGCCGGATTGAGAGAGCTTGTACCTCCCTCAGACTACTGAAGTCCTGGCCTGTGCTGCCGCTTATATATGCGCTGGCTGTACAGCAAGGACGGCAACTCGCTCCATGAAAAATGCAAGATCACTGGGTGAACTTGTGAAAGCAGAGGATAAGTTCATAGTGCATTACAAAAGAGTATTAAAGTGTATTATAAAAATACATTTACAGGCATACAAGAAGGATGAAAAGGTAATTCGAGATATAAATGACAGGAATTTTAAACCTTGCAGTGAAAACGCAAGGATTCGTCCTGTCATTTTTATAACAACCCCTCGTATATCTTTCCTCATTATGAGAAATAACATCTCTGGCTCCTCCGACAAACTGAAGTTTGCTAATGTAGTGTATCAATACAAATGCAGTTTTGGCGACTGTGCGCTCCGAAACATATGCTACATTGGACATACCACGAATACAGTGAGTATACGTCTTACACTTCATTTGCAAATCGTAGGTGTTAAGCAATATCATTCTAAACACCACATAACCATCCTGAATCGCCAAGACATAGTGAAAGATATGACAGTAATCACAGGCACCGACGATCGTAGGAGGCTGCGTATACTTGAGACCGTGTTCATTCGGGAGCTGACACCAGTAATCACCATCCAGATGAATTATTAATCTCACCTTCTCGGTCATGTGTGTGTAAACTAAAGTCTTTGAAAATGTAATAAGTTATTACGAAACACGTGCAAGTGTCGCGTCAGACTAGAAATAAAAATGAATTTTGGAGAATTGATTTTTAAATTACCATCGACAGTAAAAAGAAACAAGAAATATTGTGAAAATTCGTGTTAGAATTATTAATCTTACTTTTTCGGTCATATATAACAACATATGTTTACAACAGTTTTGGATGAGGTGAACAAAACTTTCAACACAGGACAGAACACGAAACAATGGGTATTGAAGGTAAGAATGGAAGTAATTGCAGAGAGCCTATTGGCCCATATTTCTTGATGCTTCTATATTGGAGCGGAGTCTTGAAGTGGGTAGAATATAGTTGTGCATTAATTGGCTGTTGATTGCTGGTGTTGACTTCTTGATGTGTAGTGCCTCACAGATGTCAAGCCGCATGCTATCGCTGTATCTATCGATGATTTCTGTGTTGTTTGCTAAGATTTCTCTGGTGATGGTTTGGTTGTGGGAAGAGATTATATGTTCCTTAATGGAGCCCTGTTGCTTATGCATCGTTAATCGCCTGGAAAGAGATGTTGTTGTTTTGCCTATATACTGAGTTTTTTGAGGCTTACAGTCCCCAAGAGGGCATTTGAAGGCATAGACGACGTTGGTCTCTTTTAAAGCGTTCTGCTTTGTGTCTGGAGAGTTTCTCATGAGTAGGCTGGCCGTTTTTTTGGTTTTATAGTAAATCGTCAGTTGTATCTTCTGATTTTTGTCTGTAGGGATAACGTTTCTATTAACAATATCTTTCAGGCCCCTTTCCTCCGTTTTATGAGCTGTGGAAAAGAAGTTCCTGTAAAATAGTCTAATAGGGGGTATAGGTGTTGTGTTAGTTGTCTCTTCAGAGGTTGCATGGCGTTTCACTTTCCTTCTTATGATGTCTTCAACGAAACCATTGGAGAAGCCGTTGTTGACTAGGACCTGCCTTACCCTACAGAGTTCTTCATCGACTTGCTTCCATCCTGAGCTGTGGCTGAGAGCACGGTCGACATAAGCGTTAACAATACTCCTCTTGTACCTGTCTGGGCAGTCACTGTTGGCATTTAGGCACATTCCTATGTTTGTTTCCTTAGTGTAGACTGCAGCATGGAAACCTCCGCTCCTTTCCATGACTGTTACATCTAGAAAGGGCAGCTTCCCATCCTTCTCCATCTCGTAAGTGAAACGCAACTCAGAATTCCGCTCAAATGCCTCCTTCAGCTCCTGCAGAAATATGCTAATATAAACATTTTAAGGAAACTACTCCAAGCTTGTACTAAAGAGGCACCCATCTTGAGCCCGGATGGGCACATGTATGAGCAAGTAAATGGGGTCGCCATGGGTTCTCCCCTAGGTGTCCTGTTTGCGAACTTCTACATGGGTACCATCGAACAAAAGGTCTTAGTCGACATGAATTTGAAACCGGCCATATACTGCAGGTATGTTGACGACATTTTTACACAGGTACCTGATGTCAGACATCTGCAGGAGCTGAAGGAGGCATTTGAGCGGAATTCTGTGTTGCGGTTCACTGTGTTGCATATTCAGTATTTACTATCTTCTGATTTAGGGCTTCTATCCCTCTAACTATTTTCCTAGCATCAGGGCTTAGCTGAAAGAGGAGTTCTCCAAAACTCATTTTCGTTATTTCAAGGTGAAAAAAAGAGTGAATTACTATAGAAAGTTTTACACTTATTTATACAATTTGCACAACGTTTCGAACCTCCATGGTTCATTCTCAAGTGAAAAGAAATTACAGAACTCGTTGATTTATACCCGTACGGAGTCAGGTGATAAGACAAGTACAATAAAGGTAAAAACAAGGGGGATACATAGGAGATAAATGGGGGACGAAGCACATAACATATGAATAAAGGTAACTGCAGAGGACTATTGGCCCATACGAGGCAGCTCCTATATATAACCACCAAATCCCACTACATACAAAGATTAATCAGGTGTAATTGGCCTGTTATGTAGAACAGTGTCTTCTGAGTTGGCATCGTTATGTTCTGGTCTTGTCCTTACTCTCATGGTCGGTAGAGTAAATAGTTCGGTGATTTGGATGTTCATGGTAGGTTCTATTCTTATGTGAACTGCTTCAAGAATTTGTAATCTTGCATTTTGGGTTTTGTCTATTATACAGGTATTTTTGTTCAACATTTCTCTTGTTAGGGTGATGTCATGGGCTTGTCTCATGTGATTCCTGGGGCACCGGATTGAAGATGACATGTCAAACGCCTCGTCAGCTTGGTCGACGTCATACCTATGTACTTACATTGAAGGTTACATCCTTCGTGGGGGTAAATGTACATGTATACAACGCTTGACTGCTGTAGAGGGTTCTCCGTCGGCTTCGGGCTGTTTTTAATAAGGAGTTCGGAAGTCTTCTTAGTTTTGTAGAATATGATCAGGTCTATGTTTTGGTTAGGAGTAATGCTTTTTGCTCCTTTACGGATTATTTCTTTCATTATTCTTTGGGGCACACGTGAGAAACACAAATGCGAACAGGCCTGAATGGTCCCCAGGCATACATGCAACTGAAAACTCACACCCCAGAAGTGACTCGAACCCATACTGTCAGGAGCACTATGCAACTGGTGTACAGGGCACCTTATCCACTCGATCATCACGACCGGACAAAAGCTGATGGTAGCCGAGGCTATTTTCCCCGAGGAATGAGGTGATTTGATAAAATACTATGCCCAAGATTATCATCAGAGTGCCTGCGGGCTGATGGGGAAAATAGCCTCTGCTACCATCAGCTTTTGTCCGGTCGTGATGGTCGAGTGGATAAGGTGCCCTGTACACCAGTTGCATAGTGCTCCTGGCAGTATGGGTTCGAGTCACTTCTGGAGTGAGTTTTTTATATATATATATATATATATATATATATATATATATATATATATATATATATATATATATATATATATATATATATATATATATATATATATATATACATACAGGTATATATATATATATTATATATATTATTTATTGAAAACTCACACCCCAGAAGTGACTCGAACCCATACTGCCAGGAGCAACGCAACTGGTATGTACAGGACGCCTTAATCCACTTGACCATCACGACCGGACATAAGGAAGTGATAGCCGAAGCTATTTGAACCACTTCCCCGCTGGCACTCGGATGGTAATCTTGGGCATAGCATTTTATCAAATCACTTCATTCTTTGGAGCAAGTTGTTTTCAGTTGCATATAGTCCTGGGGACCATTCAGGCTTGTTCGCATTTGTGTTCCTCACGTGTGCTCCAAAGAATGAGGTGATTTGATAAAATGCTATGCCCAAGATTAACATCCGAGTGCCGGCGGGGAAGTGGTTCAAATAGCTTCGGCTATCACTTCCTTATGTCCGGTCGTGATGGTCAAGTGGATTAAGGCGTCCTGTACATACCAGTTGCGTTGCTCCTGGCAGTATGGGTTCGAGTCACTTCTGGGGGTGTGAGTTTTCAGTTGCATATAGTCCTGGGGACCATTCAGGCTTGTTCGCATATATATATATATATATATATATATATATATATATATATATATATATA